TTCTAATGCTACTACTACTACTACTACTACTACTACTAATACTACTACTGCTGCTGCTGCTGCTAATACTACTACTACTACTACTACTACTACTACTACTACTACTCCTACTACTACTGCTAGTGCTACTGCTACTGCTACTGCTACTGCTACTGCACCTGCACCTGCACCTGCTACTGCTACTGCTAGTCCTACCCCTCCTACTACTACTACTACTACTACTACTACTACTACAACTACAACAACTACTACTACTACTACTACTACTACTACTACTACTGCTGCTTCTGCTACTGCTACTGCCCCTGCTCGAATGAGTGATTCTACCTCAAAACAGTTCTGTCGTGTCATTCCAGGCCACGGGAAACAGTCCCGAGGTCACCGCTTCTAGCCGAAAGATTCTCGGACAGAATTGGACTTCTGGGCTCTAAATATCCGTGATCTATTGCCTTACCGGCAAACTCTCCGACCATACGTATCACCACAGCTAAATCCACCAATTTGAGCTCTAAGCCCCTGAGAAATCCCCGTGCTCCAGAGACCCTGAAGACAGCCACTCGATCGCTCAACCTAGGAAATCTAGTCAGGCTTTCAGCCCCTCAAGGCTCTCAGGCGCAACCCCCAAACCTCGAATCAGAAGCTTTCGGAGCGACAGCACCCATACTGATTCAAGAGTGTTACTTATCATAGCGACGGTAGTACAACAGGGATCAGCACGGCAGCCCTAAACCCAAGTTCTAAACCCCAACTGCAAACCCTGGAACAATTGGACCAACACCCTAGGCTCTCAAAGCCACCCACGGAGCCCGAAACCCCGAATTTTCAACCTCCCTCAACCCTACACCCTAAAGAATTTTTTGGAAAGAAAAAACCCGGAATTCCTAAACCTCCCAAAGCTAAGGCAGAGTTTGGAGAAGCTCATCGCGGCCGAGGGAGCTGCCAAGGTGGAGTCTCTCTCCAGGCCTCGACGTCTGCCAACACAGAGTGCTTTTGCAGATGTTGTTTTGTAATTGTTTTTGTAACATGTTTTATATTCTTGTATATTTCGGGTATGGGGGTTTAGGGTGTAGGGTAGGATGCGGGGGTTGAGGATTCAGGGGCCCAGGGTTCCGGGGTTCGGGGTATTGGGATGCAGGGTCAGGGTTTTTGCTATCTTGTTGCAAGCCTCGGCTGCTGCTGCTACTGGACGTTTGGGAGTTTCTCGAGGATTTGGTGAGTTTTTCGTAAGGCAGAGACGGCATCTAGTGGTGCTTGGAGCTTCGAAGATCAGTGATCGAGGAACCTAGGTTCCTGGTAACTCCCAGAAGTTGATGATTTCCGAGGCGGAACAAATGCTACACCTAAGGTGTCGCATCTTGTATGTTAGGGTGGATGTGGGTCAATCTAGTGGACAACCTTTTCAGATCACTTTAGTGTTTTGAGTTTTGTGTGGCTCTGTTTAAGATAGTGTTGGTTGGCTTCAGTTTGGGATGTAAGGGTGCGGCTGCGGTATTCCTTGTAGCCGCTTATTTAACTGTTGTGATCGCGGCCGTGGCGATGGTGATGACGGTGGTCACGGTGGTGGTGGTGGTGGTGGTGGTGGTGGTGGTGGTGGTAACGGTGGTGACGGTGGTGAAGGTGCTGACGATGGTGGTGCAGGTGGTAGTGCTGCTGGTGGTGCTGCTGGTGGTGCTGGTCGTCGGTCATCATCTTCATCATCGTTGTCGTTCGTCACCATCGTTGAATCATTAGCACCGATAGAATCCGCGATGTGAGTCTGTTACTTGAAGCTCAGCTCCGAGACAGTGCATCAACGGAAGCCACAGCACGTAACGTTTTCTGCGGTACCCTGATGTATCCTTGACCACCGAACTCCGTGTTTAACGATGTGGAGTGGGGTTCTTCTCACATATTCGCGTCACAACTCTGCAACCCTGATCCCCCGGGTGAAGTTCACCAAAGAGGCTGGCGGCCGTCTTGGTGCACAAGAAGGAGGCGAAAGATGCTAAGGCGCCCTCATGCATTTCAGATCTAGCAATCTATGTCTCCGGCTCGTTTGTTGATTTCCATGGGACTTAACAGCAAGGGTCCGCATCAATGCCAGGAATCTGAAATGCACATCTTTCACAGCCAGTCTTGTGATTACATTTTGCTGCGTCAAAAAAACAAGTGTTTTAGTGCGAGATGACAAGGGCAGCCCCGAACTTGAAGTTAAAAGCGCCTCCGCATACCAATCTGTAGTATTGTAAGTTGTTAAAACTAGTACGTCGCCTGTAGGTAGGAGAACCTTGATGCACTTTCTAGTCCCAGTCGTCCTAAGCCCTCAAACCTGAACCGCGAAAACTGAAGAACTTTATAGCAACCCTAAACCATAAACCCAAACCCTAAACCCTAAACCTCCCAGCCTGCAGCAATAGGAGCACAAAGAGGTCAAGGCCGGGCCTGCTTCCTTTGTGAGCTCTTTTGGGGTTGGGCGGTTGTTCCCTAAATTAGGGTCCCTTTTGGGGTCCCCAATATAGTACGGCACCCTTATAAAAAGGAACCCCAAGATGGACCCTAATTTTTTTTTAAATTACCCACATGGCTGGCCTAATCCGTCTGCTTGAAGTTTCGATGTTCGTGTCTGGGGTTTGGGTTTTCCCATCTCCAGGACCCTACAAGGCAGGGTTCAGGATTGCAATGTTGATCGCTCGTCTGCTTACAGGTAACGCTACTATGATTGTCACCCTGGCTGTTGTTGCTGTGCTCGTTCTTCTTAGTCTCAGCTACTACATGGACTGTTGGTTTTGACTCGGCTATGGGCATTGTTCCCACATTTCTCAGCATTCATACGGTTCTGTCCACTATAGCTGAATAACGATGACGAGGCGTATGACCGCTACAGTAAACTACCATGGTTGCCTGTACTATCGTTGTTGTGCTGCTTGCTTGTGTGTGTGTGTGTGTATTTTGTTGTGTTCACGAGTTGCATCTCTTGGTCCTATTTTGCTGTTGCGATCAAAGAGACTTCCCTTTGGCCTTGCCATCGTTGCTGCTGTTGGTGATGCGACTGCTATAGTTGCTTTTCAAACCGAAGGTTCACAGATGACAACCACTTCGTGAAACCATCTTCCCATGTTCGCCGCCTTCATCTAACTACAGATGATTTCGGTAAGAAGCTCTCTAGATCGGCCCTGGACGATGCAGGAGAAGCCAGGCAAGTCTAAGAAGAGCCAAGGAGATGTGATGTGTTTCGGGGACTTCCGGGGTTCAGGGCCCAAGGCTTCCTTTCTGACCTGTTCTCAGTCTGCTTTGTCGCTTAGTCTCGCCTCCACATCCCCGAGGAGCTCTGAGCCCTAACACCTTGGGTTTAGGGTTTAGGGGTTTAGGGTTTAGGGGTTTAGGGGTTTAGCCTTTCTCAAAGTATTTGCTCCTCAGCTCGGCGTCTTTGAAGCGGGCATTGTCTGGAAGCTCCAGCCTGCTACCCTGCCCCGTGTGAGAACTGAGCCAGACGCCCCAAGATAGGGTTTAGGGTTTAGGGTTTCGGGTGGCGATTTCCATTGCAACCTTACCAGTAAGATGCTGATTGCGCTGCCGCATAGACACGCAAGCATTTGGTTAGAATGGTTTGCTTCAGAAAGGCATAAACTTAAACAATCAGCAAGGAGGAGCTATCGTAACACGAATGCGGGCTGACGAGAAACGACAAAAGCATGATCTTGCACTAGTAACTTTATCGGTGCAGTTGAGTCATCCGTCGTTGGCCAGAAGGGGACAATGTTACTACATGCCCGGGTTTTCTGCGACCAGTAACAACAATTATTTCAAGAGCTGCAGTGGATGCAGGGCAGGTGGGGGGATGGTACTTGAACAGAGTGGCTTTGTTTCTGATGTTGGGGCGGGCTGGGGTTCTTGGCGTGGTACTATGTAGTAGGTGATGCGTATGATAACGATGATGATGATGATGATGATGACGATGATGATGACGATGACTTCACCAACAGCTGTGGCGGTGTTAGGCATTCGTATTTATTGTTACTACTATTATCGCTAGTTGTTGTTGTTGTTGTTGTTGTTGTTGGTGGTGGTGTCCTTTTTCAGGACATGCAGCAGATGAGGAAGAGCCAGCGGTCACGGATGTCTCGGAGCTGTATCACGCCGCTGTGGGAGACCCAGATCTTAAGTTTGGGACCTACTGCGCAAGGCGCTGAGGCTTCAAGGCTTTACCTGAATGGGTTGTAGGGTTTAGGGTTGCATAGGATGTCAATGTCAGGGTTGAGTGAGGGGTGAGGTGGGGGGTGCAGGGGTTTCGGCTCGCCGTTCGTTCCCGGATGCACTCTGCACAGGCGGACGACAGCCATATCTTCTGCCGGAAGGTGGACAAGAAAAAGGAGAAGGCCCGGGGCTGGTCCCAACATGAACAAAGGTACCTGTTGGCTTCTGTATCCTCGTGACTCATGAAGTTGAAGCTGGTTAGCTTGCGGCTAAACGGCGATTTCCAAACGCCCCACGGACTTCGTTACAATCTTCACACCAAACCTTGAAACAGTACTTGGAGGACCATGGGACTTAGTATGTAAGGTTATAAGTCCCTTAATTGGGGTTATAAGTAAATACAAGTATAGTTACCTTATAACCCTAATTACTAGGTCCCATGATCCTTTAAGTATACCTGTCACCCGAGACTTCGGATCTCACCCGCACGGGACTTCCTTGACATGAGCGAAGCGGACGACCCAAGACCTTACAATTCAGGGCCAAATGGCCTGCTGCGAACGTTCAGCCCCCGCAGCTCCTCAGCCCCACTTAAAGGATCATGGGACTTAGTAGTTAGCGTTATAATTAAGATGACTATACTTCTATTTACTTATAACCCCAATTAAGGGACTTATAACCTTACATACCAAGTCCCATGATCCTCCAAGCAATCTGACCGGTTCCTGGAGGTCCTAAGCGCCACCCAGGCCTTCAATCTATCAGGGCCAAGCCTTACACCGGCAGAAAACTTGTAGCCAAGATGCAGTTGACAGACCCTTATAGGGGTAGTTCTCTAAATTAGGGTCCCTTTTTAGGTCCCCAATATAGTACGGCACCCTTACAAAAAGGACCCCAAAAGGGACATAAAGGGACCCTCATTTTGAAAACTACCCATAGGCTGCAGCGCAAGAGCAGCGGGCAGCGCTGAAGGTCCAGCTCAAGGAGCTCATAAACTCCACGACTTTTCCGGCCAGTTGGGGACCTTGAACCTTTCGTTTATGGAGATGCCGTACCTGGAGGATCATGGGACTTAGTAAGTAAGGTTATAAGTCCCTTAATTGGGGTTTTAAGTAAATATACGTATAGTTACATTAATTATAACCCTAATTACTAAGCCCCATGATCCTTTAAGTAGAATCCATTGTCATCTCGAACCAGAGTTTTAAACACTTGAATCCGGGTAGGATCATGATGACCATCAGCACTCCAGCCATCTCAAGGTGGATTTGGCCACTGTCATGTACCATTATTGCGTTTGCGCTATCATCATCATTGTTGTAACCGCCACGTCTTACACTACTACTGCGGCGACGACGACGAGTACTACCACTACTACCACGACGACGACTACTACTCAGTGTTTTCACCATGGTCATGACCTTGTCGTATTTGACAAGATTTCTGTTTTGCCCTTGCTCTTTGTCTCGCAGGAGCTCCTACCCACAGCCAGGGCCTCGAGTTACGAGACTTCAGGATTTCAGCTGTTGCCTTCATAATCATCATCGCATCATGATAGAAATGGCAGTAATGATAGCCACTATCACAAGTCATAGCATGTGAAACTTAGTGACGCTTGGGGTATCGTTGAGGACGACGGCTGCATCTAATCCGCCTTGCTTCACTAGGGGGCATTTCAGGAACAGTTTTATCGCACCCACACATAGTTAAGCTTCTGGATGGGATAGCCCTTTTCTGGCTTACTTACAGAGGTTATATGGGCTTTCCCAACCGTGCTTTTGTGTAGATGCGTTTTCTAGATCCCCTAGTTATCAATAAATAGGGATGACAAAGACTACTTGTGTATTGGTGATTAGCTGCCGGCTGTCTGGACCGATTGCTATACTCCGAAGCCGTGAAACCTACGCAACCGTTTCCCCTCGTTTGGTGTCGAATGGCGCAAAACTGTGTGCAGTTTTGCGGCGGGGTTGCAAGGGCTTCGCTTCAGGTTCTGGGGGAGCAGTCATGCAGTACCCATCAAAGCCCCGCAGCTACCCAGACCTGCTTGCATTCGTTGCGCTTGGCAGGTCAACAAGGCAACCAAGTAGGACAAGGTAGCAAAACGGAAGGCTTATATGATGAACCGTTCCTAGGACAACTCGTTTCACGAGATTTGCTGCGAAGCCACGCCTTTTTTTTCCACATCAGGATGCGCTGGTCATCTGCCACACGGGGCTTCAAATGGCTCTGAACGCGGAAGGACTGGGCTTTCAGATAATAGCCGCAGCTTCATGCTCTTAGTAACTCTTAGTATTTCGCTCTGACTTCTTTTCAGCTCCCGCAATTTGCTGGAGGGTTTGGGGTCGAGGATCAGGTGTCCAAGCCATTTTGGTGTTCATTGGCACACTTTTCTCGTGTGACTCAGAGCACTCTTCCGTCTAGATCACTTTGCAAGATCTCTCTCAGAGATTCCGTAAAGTCGAAAGCCAGATGCCTGAGGCCAGAAATGCCCGAGATGGTTTAGGGTTAGTTTAGGGTTTAGGGTTTAGGGTTTAAGGTTTAGGGTTTAGGGTTTAGGGACATCCCAAACCCACAAACGCTAATTCTAAGGCAGCTCCTTACAGCCAAAGCTCTGAAACCTAGGCCGCAGGCCCTCTTGCCCCCCACACACCCCACAAAAACATGCACAAACTAAAACCTCGTTCTAGCCGTTCCTCGTCATATATATGTATGTATATAAAGATATGTCTGTATGTATNNTATGTATACTAAAATATACCCACAAACCCTACTCCTACTCCACTTCTTTAAAGGCACAGATATGGAGTTCCCGAAACCAGGCATCTCGTGCCTGGTGCTCCCTCATGAACTTTGGGCCTTACGCCTTGCCGCCGGCTGCCTGCAGAATGAGGAGGCGGACTGTGACTAGTGACTAGTTGTTCGGCGTCCTTTTACCTTCAGATGCCTGAGAGATAGAGCACAGTGGCACAAGATTATTACAGGAAAATCTCAGCAGCAGTTGTACTGTGATTGTTTTATTCAAGAAAGGGCATCCTACCTAACAAATGAAATAGTGGCTGTTACAAGCGTCAGGGTCTAGCAAGCTTGAAGGAAGGAGCACGGTCGTGGTAGTAAGGCGAAGCAATGCTTGAATTCCACGGCAAGAGATGATACAGACGTTAACAGACGGTCATGATGAGCACACATGTGAAAACTCTACTGTGGGTGACTTTACCACGTCAACCCGGAACCACCCCATCCATCCACCTGAAGCTCGATGGGAACAACTGCGCCAGGCCAAAGAACAGTGCCTGCAGCTCTGTGACCTCTGTGACAAGGAGAAAGGCCCCCGATCTAGGGATCTGAGGAGGGCGGGGGTGGGGGGGGGGGGGNNGCCTTGCCCAGTTTGGGTAATTGCACCACCACGGCCCAGATAGTAGCCATTATATCCTAAACCATTTTACCATAGAAAATGAGGTGCAATTGCCCAGAATGGACAAGGTAAGGCCTCGCCCAGTTTGGGTACTTACATCACCGTGCGAAGCATCGCAGCTTCCGCAACAGGTGCTTCCTCAACATGTGTGGTAAGGGCCTGTTGGGGGCCCTCAACCGATTCCGAAACGACGCTGGGCCTCGATATGATAGGGGCGTAAGTAATTACCAATCCTGTTTGCGGCTTCCTTATTACGAGTATAGTATGTTATACCCCAAAACCCTATTCTAACTATTAACGCCCCTATGTGAGGTTTGGCACGGTTTGGCTCTATCCAATACTGCAGATCAGGGTTCGTGTGCTCGACTTCCTTCTGCAGCGGCTACGTGCTTCTGGGAGACGGCAGCAAGGCAAACGGAGAAAGCCGGGGCTGCGGATGACTGCCTGCAGGTAAAGGCCGCAAGAACCCTGCGGCGTAAAATCGAATTTAACTTCAAGCGTGCAACCCTGGTCTCAGGGCCTAAACATCACGAAGGAGCATTCAGAAATCTAGCAGTATCGTGCCCTTGCATCAAACATTAGCCTACCTTCAAATCCAGGCTTCACATATCTGACAGGCGAAGATGCAGTCGCCCGGGAAGCAGCAGCCACGGCGTGGCGGGATCGTTTCGTCGGTTCTTAGCAGCGCCTCGTCGCCTTTGCTGAAAAAGGGGAGCTGAGGGTTTAGCAGGGGTCGGAAGTTCATATGTCGGGGTTTAAGTCTCGAGATTTTGCCGGTAGTTTGTCCGTCTCGGTGGCTTGGTGATCTGAAGGACGAAAACTGATCGATCTCACATTGCAGGGGCAAGATGATACAGCAGCAAGCCGATATCAAGACTCCCTAATGGCCGTCATGCCAGCAACAGCAACCACAAACACATAGGCATTTAACAACAAGATATATAAATATACGAACAGCAATACAATCGACAACAACAGTGACAACGACATGAACAACGACGGCGGTGGCGGCGGCAGCAGCAGCAGCACCACCACCACCACCACCAGCCGCCGCCCCCACCGCCACCGCCACCAACGACGACGACGACAACAACGGCAAGAACAACAACAGCAGAAGCAGCGGCAGCAGGAGCAGCTGCCGCAGCAGCGGCAGCGGCAGCAGCAACAACAGCGTCGATATCAACATGATCAACACAAAGATGACGGCAAGAACAAAAACAAGAACCACCAGGATGACGAAATCAAAAGCATCAGCTGTATTTTGCCTGTGCTTCAACTAAACCAAGGGACTGGCGGGACTAACAACCTTGAGGGAAGGAAGAGATGGTGCACAGGTGATTGCTTTCTACTTGCATGTGGCATTGAGGCCTCAAAGTGCTGAATTCGTCAGGACATGACACATCACTGACAGTATTGACTCGTCTCTGCAGCCTAAAGCCCAAACCACCAAACCGTCAAGCCCTGAACCCAAAAACCACTACACCTGCATCATGTATCCCCCGAAACCCCAAACTCCTCCCAACCACTAAACCGCTAAAGCCAGTGGTGCGAGTATCCGCCGCAGCCACGTAGGGCTCAAAGGAGGGAGGGCTAACACAGCCGAGTCCACCCGAGCTTTTTGCAAGGCCCGCTTTTAAGGTTTCGGGTTTCGCGCTTTGCATGGCTTGTGTAGGTTACATAGGACAGTTGGTTCAGGGCTTTCGGGGTTTGTAGAGTTTATGTAGGGTTTAGGGGTTGAGGCGTTTTATCGGGAACGGATTTTGGGAGCCTCGGGATGGATGGCAAATTGCAGTTGGCCGTCAGGAAGAGACCTTAGTACATATACTTACTAAGGTGTACGTGGCCGCAAAATGAGGTCGGTTGCTGCGGCAAGTGTTGTGGCTACTAGCTGTAATCGTTCTGGGTAGCTTTGTTACCTTAAGGCTGCCGCTTGATAGTACGCGGCTGGCACAGATGGGACATTCATGTTGCTGCATAGTTAATTAAGTCCCAATCTCAAACTTGCAGCTGACGAGCACCCAGCGCTTGTAGGTATTTTGCTTTGGCCACCATGCCTTGCAAATTTGTGCGGGTTCGTGTGTGTGTGTGGGTGTGTGCTGTTGTACGCGCCCAGGCACTCTGGTGTCATACAAACGGCTTCGTTTCCTTGCTAACGCATTTGGGCTTGCATCCTCATGCCGCAAAAGCGATTTCACCAATGCTGTGTTGACTCGCAGGCTCTGATTACTCATCCTGCTTGTATCATTGAACTTGTGGCCTTTCCGCGCTCCATACCTCTCCTAGTTGCGGCGATGCCCCTTAGAGCCTTAGATTGCAGGAATGCTTTCGCGTTGCTGGCAACGTGCTGGCTGAAGTGAATGCTCACCGTTGGACGATGAGCTGCAATCAGCCATTCGGGTGGTTCTCAAAATGATGGTCCCTTTTTTGGGGTCCTTATTATAATACGGCACCTATTATTTAGGGTACCCCAAAAGGCCTTTTTGGGTCCTTATTATAATACGGCACCTATTATTTAGGGTACCCCAAAAGGGACCATCATTTTGACAACTACCCATTCATACTCTGACTGACCTTGACTGCTCCTTTCATGGTCTCAAGTCTCAAGACTGAGGCTGTAAAATCTTACGCACTGCCTTAAGAACCCCAAAACCCACTTTTTTTGGTAGGTTCTTATTATAAACCCCAAATACGGCTTTTATAGGGACCCTACAAAAAAGTAGGTTTTGGGTTCTTAAGCTATACCCTAAACCCTGAAATCTAAAACCTAAAGCCTTAAGCCCTATCATGAGCCCGATGTCCGAAAGACCAGGCAGGCCATGGGGCAGTCGCCGTGCAGCCGCTACTGCGAGCCGGAGGATGACGATGGCTCCACAAACCGCGAGCTCCCGATGTCGTGCGGGCCTAAGAATAGTTTTCCTACGGTTTAGGGTTTAGGGTTTAGGTAGTATAAGGGAGACCCCTTAAAGGGGGCCCTTCTTACCCCTACTTATGGCTCTCTTAAAAGGGCCGTTATTGAGAGGGTCTTAATCCTGAAAAGGGTCCCCCTAATCCTAACTCCTAAGTTTTGGGCAGCATGTTCTTTTGATCGAGCTGCGCCTTGCGACACTTGGCGCTGCTTTCTTGGAAAGCGCGACGAGAGCTGTGAGAGTGTGGCCATGAAGTCTAGGGTTTACGGTTTGGGGTTTTGGGTTTAGCGTTTAGGGTTTAGGGTGCCCCAAGCTGGAATATTCCTCGACGGTTTGTGAGCGGTCAGGACCGCCGAGCGGCAGCAGTACGAGAGGGAGTTTGAGAGGCACCGGATGCTTTGGTCGTTCGCTTTTTCGCGCCTGCCGTCTTTTGTATCCGTAGGGTGTCAATCATTGCCAGTTGCTTCGGGTGTGTCTGAATTCTATGAAGCAGTCCGTTGTCGCAGTCTACCCCAAGCTTTGCATCCGAGGGCCGACCACAAACACATGAACAGGACGGGGCCACCTTTGGGCTTGGAAAGACCCTCGCAACGATCGTTGTAATTACAGTTCTCCGGTGGATGCCGTGCCTTGATCTGACAATGTGATTTGCCTATATTGATCTTCAATGAGTTGCAGATTGCGAGACTGCCAGTGACAAACTTCGCAGATTCAGCAAGAGCCGCTCTGGCTTCATCTAGTTTTAGCAGTTGCTGCGAGGCACGTACAGGAGGTGCTCCGGCAGGGTGCAAAGGAGGCCACTCCAAGCCTGTTTGGTGTTTTACCTATAGTCTCCATTGTAGTTCCTTTTTTTTGGTTTAACCAAGTATATATTAAGGATTCTATAAGGTATCCCCAAAAAGGAACTACAAGGGAGACTATAGGTAGGCTGTAGGTTTAGGGTTTTGGATTTCTGGGCTCGCGGGGTTTAGGATACAGTACCTTGCCTCAGGCTGAGCAAGCGGTCCTCCAGGCGTTGTGTTTGCGTTTTGGGCTTCAGGGTTTTGTGGTGCTTTTGAGTGTCGGACAGAGTGCCTCTTGCAGTGTAGCTCACGACACGGGAGCCCGAACAAAGTAGTCTCCATGGCCAGTATTGTGAGTCATCCTGATCGCCGCTGTGCCAAGCCGTCGCTCTCCCGGTTGACCCGTAGACCTAGTGTTGCAAGTTGTGTCTGCCTAATATAGGGGCGTTAATAATTGGAACAGGGTTTGGTATAGTATACTCTAATTATAATAAGGAGCCCCCCTAAACCCTATTCTAATTATTAATGCCCCTACATTAGGTGAGCCTGTCTCTTGTAAACCCGAGACTTTCCACGGATGGCATCTTCGCAAACCAAGCCTAAAGCTGTTGCACAACCTACACCCTGAATCAATCCCCGAGCCCTAAACCCTACATAAGCCCTCAAACCCTGACCCTCAAACCCTCCTGAGGTCCTACTCAATGCCCGCTTCAACTCCAAAGAATAGCCTAAACTACACCCCTGCTCAAAACCTGGCCTTTCTTCGAAGGGAGACACCTGAAACCCTACAGTTAAATAGCCAGGAGCGGTGACATGAAGCCGTTGGGGTAGAGGGTGTAGTTAGGACTTGGGCTTTCGGTTTGCGGGTAAAACGCTGTAGGTCCTACCACAGTGCTTTCCTTGCGGCTGAAAAAATCAAATCCTGCATTGTGCCCATGATGATAAGGAATATACCATAATTCCCATAGTTTAAGGTCGTTAAGGTAATGCAGGATTTATATCATCAACAGTAGTGTCGATCTTCCGAGGTCTATTGTGCGAACTGTGGGTCGCGCTTCGCCGGGAGCACAGGGTGTGAACTCTTCCTTCGTGCCCTTCTGCACCGGGGCTGAAGCCCCAGAGACTCCAACATCCCCTAAAAAAAGGAATATATCTTAAATTATAGTAGGATCCTTAATATGATTTAAGGTATATTCCTTAATGAAGGGATATTGGAGTCTCTGGGGCCCTAAACCCTAAACCTCGAGGGGGGAGGAGCGGTTGGAGGAAGCCGTGGCCTGCCGGTTTAGGGGTTTAGGGGTTTAGGGGTTTAGGGTTTAGGGTTTAGGGTTTAGGGTTTAGGGTTTAGGATTAGATTCGGGAAGTTCAGTTCAGGAACGGGCCCTCGTACTTCGAGGATCTTTAAAAAACAGCCGGGGGGCGGCATAATCATCAGGTTCCCAGCATTTTGCTTGCACAGGGCAGAGGCTGTTGTCTGAAGGGTTTCGGCTTTTGGGGCTGCTGCCCAAGTTGCTCCGTGACCAGGCAAAGGCACGGAAGCCTTTATAGTGCCCAGAGACGCCAATGTCCCTTAATTAAGGAATATACTTTAAACTATAGTAGGATCCTTAATATGATTTAAGGTATATTCCTTAATTAAGGGATATTGGAGTCTCTGGGTAGTAGCCTCTGCAGTTGAAGAAGAACCCTTATGACAGCCGAAGGCCTAAACTCCTCCGTACGAGGCCTCCGCCACGATGCCCTACAGCTAAGCCTACGAGTTTCGAGGCAGTTTTGCACTTTTAGGGTAAGGGATTTCAATTGTTAAAGGGTTTTGGGTTTAGGGTTTTGGGTTTAGGGTTTAGGGCCAACTCCCGAGCTTCCCTCTCCCAAACCACTCGCGAACTCCCCCCCCGACTTTCCATGACGCCTCCGAAACTTCCTCCCGAGTACGAACACCTGCCTGCCCCAACACCTGAAAATTCCCTTGACTTCGGGTTCAGGGCAGGGGCTTA